AGGAAGCTTCGCATCCAAATTGAAACCCCGTGGATACTTGCGAGCGATTTGTGCCGGGATACGCGAGCACAGGAACAACTTCGCAGCTGGAACAGACATCTGCATTTGTTTGAAGACTTTGTCGTCAGACCATACTCGATTGCAAAGATTGAAAGTAAAATCTAGGGCAGAACCCCATCAGATGAGTAGACTCATGATCAGCCAAGTGTACAACCCAATCTTTGCAAATGATGTCTTTCATCTTGAGGGCATGAGACTCCTGAAATGTTGGCTGGTGGTACAGATGAAGCAGGTGATCATCCCATTGCTGCAGGATGAACTGTCTCCAAGTGGTCACTGCGTCCAACGGAATGAAATGCGCCTTGCACCATTTGCGAAAGGCAATAGATGCTTGTTTCACATATCTACTTTTACTTGGAAACACGTCACGAAAAGACAGACTCTCCAATCCAGTAGCCACATGTCCATCAACCAAGTCAACATTGGGGTGCTGAAGCTCTCAAACTGCTTGCACTTGCAGGGAAGCTGATCAACATGCACATCCGATAGCTTCTTTTCCCAATCAAAATGATTGCGCAGAATTGATCCCAACGATTTGGGAGCGCTCTCCCTTGGTGTCTTGGAGGCAGATGGTACGGAACGAGGATGGACTTGTATCTCTGAATGACAAGAGAGAGGAAACGTGAAACATGAGACGGAAAAGAGGGATGAGACACAAACGGAATCGTGACAGAGGAATTATGACGAGGTACAGTACAGTTACGAAAGTGCAAGGCCGACTTGAGAAGCTGCACAACTCGGGAACGAAAAGGTTGTTCCATAATCTGCGCCATCCTTTACCTCCCTTACAATTCCAATTGGCTGACCTTGGCAGACCTGATGACCTTGGCAGCTTCAAAGAAGCCACTGTTAGCGACGCAAGATCATACAGCAATGACCACGCTTTGTGTTTGTCCATCAAGCACGTAGGCGAAGACCCTGTTGTAACTGTACGACGTCGAACCTTTTTCCAAAGCCTGGAGAACAGGGAGACTTGCTTCAATGAAGGCCTGGGTTTGAGTCTTTTGAAGCCGAGTGCAGACTTCATGTAAAAACGGTCAATGAATGGCGAATTGAATCTGGGTTGCCACTGTCCAATCAGCACATGCTCCTGAATCCAAGCTTCACGGTAATCCTGATGAACAAATAAACAAACAGTGGAAAAGTCAAAGTAGGTGCCCAAAGAGGCCCAAATGCGAATCGCTGGCTCAACTTGGACACATCTGTGCTGCAATACCTGCTTCAATTTTGACTGACGATTGCATGCAGAAACAGAAGTGCTGCCCAAATACATCCATCTGTCCCGTTGTTTAAAGGATGATCGAGAGCTCCACGACACAGGTGCCTTCAAATAAACTGCAAAGGGACTGCGAAACCTCGAGAATGTGTATTCGGAAGGAACAACAGAGACTCTCTTCAGTTTTTTCAAGCAACCGTTGCTCTGGCGCGGCGCCTCGGGAAAAGTAATGCAGAAGAAGCGAATGGCAGAAGCCCTGCAACCACAATGCAAGCTCCTTGTCAACATTCGGAATGAACTGAATAACCATAGTAACGAATTTACCAACGTCAATCACAATCTGATGCGCAACACGGATGTCGGAGGCAGACAAAGATTTGGCAGCAAGGCTTTCTGAGATTCAGGCAACTGTAAAAGCTTCCGCAGCAACGCACGTGGACATGCTCTTAATTCCCATCCTTGATGCATACGTGGCGATGATCCCGTACTTAACTGCAAGTTCTTGCAGTTTTGGCTTTTCCTTGCCTCCGAAATGGAATTGAACAAGGCGAGTAACTCTTGTAACATGTTCTTGAAATTCTGGGAACTTCTTGCCAAGCGGACGCTTAACGCTTTGGATCCACTTGCTGACGTCCTCCTCGCCAGAACCCTTAAGTCGGGCTTTGTGATCGTTTAGTGCATCAGCCGGAATGGAAGCGATCTTAGCCTTCAAGTCCGACTCCCACAGGTCTGGCTGACCAACAGCTTGGCGAGGCTGGCTTGGCAAAGACGAAACAGGCAATGTGGTCTTCAAGTTTGGGGTCTTTTGTGGGGTGACTGGTACCCCTGCTGCTTCAAGTTGTTCACGTCTGCGAGAAAGCTCTTCAGAAATCGCAAGGAACTTCTGAGGCTGATCGACACCTGCTGAAACCGGCGTGTTATCTTTCAACAGCGATCTTGTGCTCTCTTATGGACTTAAGCAACTGCGCCATGAATACTGCTTCGGCAACCGATGCAACCGGCACGGCGCTGAAGTCGCCAGTCAGACACTCCATGAAAAAGGAACTCATGAACCAGTAGGGTTAGGGGATCTTTTCCGGCAGTGCCTTTCTTTCGAGACCACTGTGTCGCCTCAATGTGCTTCTTGAAGGTCAGGCCATGAAGAGAGTTAGCATGGTAGAACTCATTCGTAGTCCACCACGAGTTCGGAAGAGGCACAATCCAATTACTCACCGGGGCGTCGGGAATGCTGGAGAAGAAGACAAAGACTGCGGAACCGGAGGAGGAGGAGGAGGAGGAGGAGGAGGAGGAGGAGGAGGAGGGAGGAGGGAGGAGGGAGGAGGGAGGAGGGAGGAGGGAGGAGGGAGGAGGGAGGAGGGAGGAGGGAGCGGAGGAGGAGGAGGGAGGAGGGGGGGAGGGAGGGAGGAGGGAGGAGGGAGGAGGGAGGAGGGGGAGGGAGGAGGGAGGAGGGAGGAGGAGGAGAGGAGGAGGGAGGAGGGAGAGGGAGGGAGGAGGGAGGAGGGAGGGAGGGGAGGAGGGAGGAGGGAGGAGGGAGGAGGGAGAAGGGAGGAGGGAGGAGGGAGGAGGGAGGAGGGAGGAGGGAGGAGGGAGGAGGGAGGAGGGAGGAGGTTGCAGCAGATCGAGGTCGAACGGTTCGCTGCACAGGAAGAAGCTGAAGCTCACTGACGGGAAGATCTGCATCCTTCAGAACCACTCAGATCTTCCAAAAGGCTAACAAGGCTTCTGGAATGAAACATGACGAGCGAAAGACCCATCTGCCATCTTTGGCTCTAGCAACATCACAAATGAAGCTGCAAGCATGATCTCCCTCAATACCTCCCTGTGGGACTCTGGTATGTGGAGGGGTAAGTGACCCCTGCCTATTGTAGCAGGCATGACCAAAGATGCACAACGGACGCGCACTCAGAATGCCACCGTACTTAGACGCCGTCTCTTGTGCTTGCTCAGGATCAGTGGGATGAGCCCTTGCGTAAAACGAGAATAGCGGTACCCATGTCTGGTCCTGTACGTCCCAATAGGACGGGCTAACCGTTCCCTCGGAAAGGATGGCAGCTGCTCCCAATGCTGTGGTGCTGTGAGCTACATACAGCTTGGAAACACCTGCAGCCATATCCTTGCGAACACTGTTTCTTCCGAAATGATTGAAGTGAATGGCCAGGCACTTGCAGGAGCTCGTTAACGAGCTCAGGGAAACAGTCTGAATGTTCGCACTTTGGTCGGAAGCAGAAATCACCTGAGCAAGAAGTCTCAAGGCCGTTTCATTCAATCGATCCACAGGAAGGTTGGCCAAACGAACCAGGTATTCAGATACACTGGACAACATTGATCCTGGCACAGTGAGTTCCAGATTCGTAGGAAAGCGTGCCCGAATCTCCGAACCTGACTTCATTCTACCGGAACTGGAAATGATCACGTTCCTCAATGTTGCAAACATGGTGTATACTGCAGACCAATCAAACGAACCATTATACACAGCAATCACTTTGCCCTCTTCATCACGCACTTCAAGATCGCGCAGTTCAGGAAGCACATAGAAGTTCGGATCTTGACTCCATGCAACGTCAAAGTGATCTTGCGACTGCAGCAGAGGCTTCAAGCGAAAGACGTATTTCTGATCGGCACTCAGCTGCCAACCAATGCGATCCTGCTGCACTCCCGGAATTTTGCTGCAAATCTCTCGCAATCTGATGCTAGACGGATCAGCAGGAACGTCCAAGTTTTGCTGAGGTGTTTGAAATTGCTTTGAGCGCTTTGCAGGTTGACTGTCAAGCTCCAAACGGCGATGCTCACCTTGTTGGGGGCTTAACGCTTGCTGACTGTCCAGGATTTCATTCACGCCTGGATAAGACCCGCGATGGTTGCGAACATGCATCAAGTTTGCTGCCACGACTGCAGAATATTCCGTAAAATCAGCCACCGATCTGAATGAAAGACGGTAACCATTGGCATCAGCATGTAGTGTAATGGCTGGTGCGGACTCTTCACGAACGATGCGAATCACTTGCTGACCAGAATCTGCTGAAGCTGAAGCTGGCGTCACTGATGTAGGTGGGGGAGGGGGAAGGGGGGCAGAGGGGGAGGGGGCAAACCGGGAAGGACAGCAACAGGGGGAAGGGAAGAAGGGGGAGGGAGGGGAGGGGGGGAGGGGGAGGTGCACTGCTCTTGCCAATCGCGGAGTCCGGCTCACGTCGATGATAGGATTTCCGCATTGCTACAGCTAACCTGTCAACAATTCACACTGCTACTTTCAAGCCAAAGACCTGCGACAAGTCATTGGGAAAGTCATCCGGGAAAGTCAGGAGATTTCAAGACATTCGGAGACTCACCGGTGAAGTCACGTTCAAGGCTGACGGATGCATAATGGTACTGCCGTCACGAAGACGGAAAAGTCACTTGTGAATCAAGCTGCAAGCCAGGATATAAAGTCAGGTAAAGTCATCCAAGGCTTATGGAGTCAACCGGTAAAGTCAGCACCAGAGCAACCTCTGGGAGACACGACGCCCACGGGGAATGCCGTTGCGATTCACACTTGACACAATTTGTCGCAGGTCTCAAGTCAGCTCAGAAAGTCAAAAGGGTAAGTCAGCTTCGTATTCACTCTAGAGATACTGGAAATTCACCCTTACACTCAGAGTCAGCATGCCACGATGAAAGCAATGTACAGTTTGCACGATGGAATATGTCACAAACTGCAGGTACGTCGACTTAACGTCTCAAGTCGATTTCACAGGAAAGCAGAAAGGTCTTCGTTGGTGCCAGCCTTCTGCAATCCCCTGGCACCCCCTGCTGGTACTACACTGACAGTGAATCTCTTGGAAACAGAGCGAGACACACACACACACACACACGCACACACACACACACACACACACACACACACACACACACACACACACACACACACACACACACACACACACACACACACACACACACACACACACACACACATCGCTCGTGCACTTGAGCAGTCCATGAAGCAGGGTTCTGCCTGGGGGTTGAAGATGCCAGGGATGTGTGGAGGAAATCTGGACCTCAGCCACCCGCACATGCTTAGGAGTGCTTTGCTGCTATGCTCTGCTCAGAGGACGGCAGAAAGGGCTTGCCACCAATGGCAAAGTAATCCATGCAGACTCAAACCGAGTCGATCAAGGCTCTTGAATCGCGCGGCGCTTCCTGTGCACACAAGCACAAACACGCACTGCGCACTGCCGCACCTACCCTGGCCGTCCCTTGCAGAGCGATCGCTGCCTTAGCCAAAGAAACGCCGCAGGAAGCGCTCAGCGCCACAACCCACCTCTCACCTCTGCCTCCCGTCTTTTCCTTGAGCCAAAGTCTGGCAAAGCAGCCAAGCCTTTTTGTCGTGACCTGCAAAGTGAAAACAGTGTCGGACTGAGCTCAAATGATTTGAAGAATGCGGCGCTTTTGGGGAAGAGTCGCAGAGTTTCGCAGACGTCTCCTTCTTGATCCGGTGCAGCAGCCAAAATGCGCTGCGCATGTCGCAGTCCCTACGCATCTTGAGACTTGAAGAAAGTCTCACCTTCGCTCATGCAAGGTTTCCGCTCTTGTGGCCACTTGGTGTCATTGGACACTGATCGAAACTGCGTCAGAAACTGCACTTCGCAGTTCGGCGAATGGCTGCTTTCAAAGGGTTGAAGCCTGAAAAAGGACACAGCGTGAGCCAAACTAGCGCCAACACCAGGCAGCCAGGGCCAGGGCCAGTAATCGTCTGGGCCCTGAAGGCGCAGACGCGAGCAGAGAAGCGGAGAAGCGCTGAACACCCATCGCTGCGGCAGCTATGCTTCCTGACTTCGCGACGGCGGGCCTTTCGGAGTCTCCGAAGCCACTTCGAGCGACGTAGACCTCCGGAGAGAGCACTCTGCAGAGCCAAGAAATCCTGCCGCCCTGCAGGGCCCATGGCAGTTGTAGAGTACTTCTGGCCATAGCGGTGCGTCACTGCAACCTCGAACCCCCGCTCAGTCAGCTGTGACTTTAACTTTGTGCTCACAATTGCTTGCAGCTGGAATGCCACAAACGGAGCATCGTCGCTCCGCTCGCGCAGATAGATGTGATCACAGAGGCAGTGCGTGGGAATGTTCATCCTGCCGTGACGAAAACACAGCAAGGCGGAGCAAGGCGGAGCGAGATTTCCACGACAGCCGGCAGCACGGGCCCTGGCCAGGTGCCAACCTGAGCTCTCTTTGGCAGATGATGAATTTCGCAGAGACCGTCGAGTCACCGTGTGGGGATCGCAGCGTAGGTGCTCTTCCCCAGCACCTGCTCTTCACCCTCTTGAGCACATCGTGGAGCATGTTTCTTCTTTGGCCGTGGCCATAGGCACGACTGGCGCATCCAAAGTGTAATCCTGGCACACTACAGAGTTCTGGCACACAGGGCTGTAGTTAAGACAAATGTGCCGGCAAAGCATTGGGATCCGGGATCATCTGCCCATATTTCATTGGAGCTTCCTTCTCCTCCAGAGACACCTGCGAAAGTTGTAATGCAGCAAGAGTCGCGGAAATCTAAGTACAAAGCCTTCGAAGCGCCTGGAATCTTTGATACGCAGAGATGTCGAGCACATTGTTCATGTTGCCCTGACCTGTGGGCGCGTTCCGCGGCAAAACGACACCGTGAGGCCTCCAGAGATCAAACTTGCCAGTCCGACTATCCTGCATTCCTTGGCTGATGCAACAATGCAGAACCGCATGTATTCGCCGGTATCAGCAAACTCAGTAAACAAGACTTAGAGTCTTAGAACTTAGAATTGCAGACTGCAGCAACATGTTGTCCTGGCTGAGGAAGCGACTGGGTTGATCCGGCGCAAAGCGCCACTGATCATCCACGATGAACTTGTATTGGTGCACACCTGCGGTCGCCCCGGAAGCTGCGAAGCACCGCAGGGCCGTCGGGCCGTGGGGCAGCCTCGTGGGAGCTCTTGGACCACGGAGAACTCCTGCCTGCAAGGCTTGCGAGGCTTTGGAGGGAAGCCGGGGGCCCTGAAAGGCACGCGGCGCACCCGGAGCGGACCATCGGGATCTGGTCGCGCCAGCCATTGAAGGAGGCAGCCAAAAACACGTTCTGACCTGCCAAGGGCTACCGTGGATTCGCCAGTCCGTGCATTTCGCAAGCCCGGCTGGGTCTTCTGCCGCCGTGTGTCCAAGTGAAGACGACAGGGATGCCTGAGCTCCGAGCCCGGAGCAGCCCGCGCAGCCCCCAGATCAAACTATAGGCATTTCTCAAATCATAGGCTAGAGACGATCGTCTTTCTCGGAGTCTGCAATCGTTAGCGCAGCATCCTGAGAAAGAGACGTGAGAGCACCGCCCGCTGGGTCCAGGCGGGTTCGAGGCTGCGGCCCCTGTTTGCGGTTGGGCACTTTGCAGTGGGGCACTTGGCAAGGCCACACCTCCCGGGCAACCATGCCGCATGCCCCAACATGTGTTCACCCTGTCCAAAATCCCGCCTGATCCCCGGCTGGCCAGAGCCCTCTGCCTGCTTTTGCATCTGTGCGTATCAGCGCTTAGGCCGGAACACTGGAGCCGTGCTTGACGAAGGATGGCAAAGGACAACCCCGCTCGTAGGGTGTGCAGGGTGTAGAGGTGGCGGCAGTCACGGCCGTGGCCTGACTTGTTGATTGCCCATGACGGCGGTTTACCTGGCCAGAGCACCACTTGGATGTTGGACTGCCACAGCGGTGTTGGAATAAGGCATGGACTGCTGACCAGCTGCACGGAAACACATGGCCACTCTAGGGCTCGACATCGCTTATGGTCTGTTCGTGTGAAGATCGGTGCCGGTGTTTACAAGCTTGAGCCATGGGGCCATACCTATCCTCAGATGGAGAGCAAAGTAGCACATGATCATCCGCGAGAATAGCCGAATAGCCCTCTTTAGTTTTCCTTTTGGAATTCCAAAATCCAGCGAAGGCTTCAACTCGCAACCGGCGCCGCGGCAGCCAGAAGGTTCAGCGCAGCTTTGCCTGAAAGGGGGTCGAAGCCTTAGGGCCCAGTGCGAGGAAGGCAAGGCGGCGAGACCCGCGCCATGCATACCGTGGTTGCCGAAGTCTTTGTACCTGCGAACCAAACCAACCGTAATCATGTGCTTCATGCCACTTGCAGAAGGATGGCATTTGGACGCAGATTAAAAAGGTAACAACATGCGGACATGCAGACTCAGACCCAAACACTCGAAAAAGCCCTGCTAGGAAATGCCGAAATTCGTCCACGAGGCACACATTTGACTACCTACAGTAGAGCAAACGAGGTTGTATGACGCACACCCCGTCGTAGCCAATTATCAAGGCTCCCCGGAGATCTCAAGTCTTCCTCCCCCTCTCTGTAGGCTTTATGTTGAATAGCAGTTCTCCTTCAGATCCTTCTGTGCCTGAAGTGTTTGGGGACCTTTACCCGTCTGAGCCCCTGTCCTCTGCAAAATCAGTGGATGTACCCTTAAATTGAGGTATCCGGCATCCGGCAAAAGTGAGGTCCAGAAGTCCGTGCAATTCTCTTCCGGCTTTCTGGGTTATGCTGGCTTGAAACCAGGCTTTTTGGGATCGCTTCGGCGGCTCGGACTGCTTGCGAAAACGAAAACAGAACAAAAAGGTCTCGGGATGTCCGCTCTCGGAATCACCTACATATTCTCGTCATGCGGCGCAGCCACCGTACATGCTAAGCTCAGCGAATATCTAATGACGAGAACATGAACCTGAAACCGAAAATGTAAATCAGATTCCGTACCGTTTCCCTGCAATCCTAGAGTTGCTGGTAGTTCGGAACCTGAAACTCTGAACCAAAACCTCAAACCCCGTTAAAACGCTACGTACACTAAACCTGAAGAGTCTGAGTTTTTGAATGTCTGAGTGTCTGCGACTAAATTACCAGCGACACTATTGCCTTGACGGCGTATTGTGAAAGCGTTTTAGCAGCCTTGAACTCATGTCCGGTCAAGAGGCAGTCTCATGAGTTTAGGTGTGCGGGAGCGATGTCTTTCGCCGGCTGCCGCCGAGCCCCCGATCCGAACACACGGCCACCAGTGAGTATCCTGTGTCAAGTCGCCGAAGGACCAAACTTGTAGCGATGTATCGGATGTCGAAGACTTCGGAGAACATGCAAAGGCCCCCAAAGGCGGATCTTCCCATTGGCCGGGCACTCAGGACTCAGGCACTCACTGTGTAGTCTAGAGTCCTCTAGAGTCTGTGGGACCGCTCTCAAGACTCCACACAACGTTCACGCACTCACATTGCACAAGCCACGCCAAGGCTCTGTTCTGCTCCCCGGGCAACGCCGCAGTCTCTCTCAAAGCCAGGAAGGACGGGTGCAGGTGCGCATGCCGCGCGCGCTGCGCTTGCAGCTTGAGCTTTCGAGTTAGTGACGGAGTTGTGAGCTCTGTGGACACGACACGGGACACAGAGTGCAGAGCGGAAACAACGCTTCCCCTTTCAGCTGCCGAGGTGCGCTGCTCGTAGCCTTTGCACGGTGAACTTCTGCAGCTCCTGAAGCTGCTTGGACCTCCCGAATCGCCGAAGCGCTTCGCATCGCTTCGCATCGCTTCGCGCAGTGCTACTCCGACGCTCAGCCAAGCCACTTCTCGCGTGTCTTGTCCTTTTCCATCAGCGCCTCGAGTCTTCGCAGATTGGGAGAAACTGCTAGGGACCAGAGAGGGACCAGACCATATTGCATGCGACCAGCCCCCAAAGGGCGCGAAGATTTGCACCGTCAAGATATGCCGCTAAGCTGAAATACCTCAGCCGTTCATCCATATGCTCCGCAATGGATGCTCCGCCGGTTCGGTCGGTTCAGTTCAGCCGCCGACTTCCTGCTGGTCTCGAGGTCTCCGGTGGAGTAAAGCAGCTCTGCATATGTCAGGATGTTGTACCTCTAGGGGGCGGTCTCTGCTCTGCGGCGCCGCTGCTCTGCTCTGGCGCTGTGCTGAGCTGCTGAGCTGTGGGCATTGACCGGGGATTGTGGACAATGAGCTCTTCGAAACAGAACACTGCACGCTGCAGCATTCCGGACTGGCAGGACAGAACCACTGCTGGAGAGGCACTTGGGGAGCTCAGGAGCTGAACCTCGACATAGAGCTCGCCGAGCTCATGCCACACCTGTCCCCCGCGGTCTCACGTTGCAACACGTGAGACCCAGCCCACGGCTCCTCGGAGTCCGTGCTGAAGGTCTCGAGGTAAGTGTTGATCGACTCGATGGCCTCTGCAGGCTGAGGCCGCCGTGATGCTGTCACTGGCACATCCCACATCCCTTCTCAAAACAACCGCCGCGGGGTTCCTCAGGGACTTTGCCGCTCTGCTTGTACCTCGAGCCGGAAGCATGCGAAATGAAGCCAGCCGGGCCGCAGAGACTTGGGGCTCCACATAGCGATGAGGCGCTTGTGAGTCACAGTATCCTGACAAAGAAGGCAGCAAGGTGCATGCACTGCGCATGCGGATGCATGCGGCAGGCAGCCGGCAGCCTCAGGCTTAGCGGCCAGGATCTTCTGATAGATCTTCTCGGCCTTGGATTCACATCTGCACCGCGGCGCACTATCACTTCTACAATGCTCTTCGCCTCCTTCCAGTCTGCCAAGCTTTCCTTCTCAATACCTACTCGAAGCGAGCATCCTGTAGCTGGAAGGCTTTCGCTTGCCCAGCCTTTCAAACGCTCTACCCGCAAGGAAGAGGGAAACTTCTTGGTCAACTCTTTCAGGCAGTAGTCCTGCAAAGCTGCTGTTTGGTTGTTATAACTTCTATCACAGCTGCCGGCTGCCAGCTACCAGTCCCGCCATTGGTCGCAACCGAGCTCGGCAGCTGCGAGAAACGTCTGCTCCATCACCTCGCAAAAAAGACGGAATTGTAGGCAAGGGACGAAGATCGGCTCGGCTCTGAGTTCAAGGCGGTCCAAACTTCGTTGCCCAGCGATCGCACGCTCCCCTTCAAGAGCCGAGCACCTCTGTCCCCAGCACGTTGCGCTCTCTCTGTCGGAATCTCATGCGCAATGCACGCGACTGCTATGTCGCTGTGCTCCTGGCCGTGGAGCAAAACGAGCTCGGGCTGGTGGATTTTGTGTGTTCTGGCACGTCGAAGTCCACTGAATACACCTATCCCCCCGGATCCCAGGTGCCACCAGTGCCTCATAAACTGGAGGAGCTCTGCTGCCTCGCGCGCACACCGGCCACTTAGCCAGTTCCCTGTTTTTCCATGCATCCGAGGGGCAGAGGTCGCCGACCTCCGCTGTTGCGACATCACTCGCTCCAGAACGCGTCAAAGCACTCACGCGCACGCCCACTGCGGCACCGCTCTAAGCCGCATACCCACCTTGCGCTTTAGCGATCATGCCTTCGTACCTTGGACGTGACGGCAGCAAACTTGGTGCTTAAGCGCCGCCCTGGGCCGCTGACTGCCCAGGTTCCATGGCATGGCCCATTGCGATGGCCATGCCGCGTCCGATGTTTCCCGGACGCCAGTGTTCTTCTCGAGTTCTCTCAGAGAACCCACACGTGCCGAATTGACTCCCCTTATCCTCCTGAGCCAAGCATCTGGCGACTGTTTCAATGTTTGTCGCTTGGCATATGGGGTCAGTAGGGCGAGCGGCCTTGGTGAGTCATGATTTTCCAGGCGTCAGACACTCTACCGGTGTTTAGTTGAGTTCTACCCACTACGAATACTGAATCCGGACTTTGTTGGGTTCGTTCGTCCACTTTAAATTCTGTACGAAGGCTCTTCAGCTCTGGCAATTTGGATTGTGTTTCCAAGCTGAATGGAATCCTGCTGTACATGATCAGCTCGACACTTTGCAGTGTTGTTTTGAGCTGCGCCAGACGACCACAAGATTTCATCATCAATTTCATTCGTTGAATCGTCTTCAATACGCTTGAACCACTTCGTTGTAATTTTGGCTCGAATGGCAACCATAATGCAACTATAAGGCCTAAGATCACTTGACAAAGTAACCAGTGTTTCCGCGCCGAAGGCTCGCTTGGCGCTTGTTCATCGAAGCGCGACGAGCGAAGAAGGGATCAGAATACCCGAGGAGCACAATACACAAGTCCAGCCAGGAGCACCTCCGTAGTGGACTCAGATAAAACGCAGGTATGTGCGGAGAGTCTCCAGATTCGCGCGAGCCGTCAAGCAGGGCAACCATGCGGGATCGTTGTACGCGGAGCCAGACAGGGGCGAAAGACCCAATTAACAAGAGAGAGCCTCGACAATCATGCGCCCTTGTGCCATGAAAAGCGGGCAGTGTCTGCACAGCTTCTTAAGGCTGAGTTCTCTTCTGAGGCTCCCTCCTCAGAGGCACTAGCTGAGTCGTCCGAGGTTGTTTCGGGTTTGGTTGTAAAGGCCGGCGTTGAGCAGCCGCAGCCTCCTTTGCAACCTAGGAGACAGTAAGTCCTCACGAAAACTCGGGGCAGAGCAATCTCCATCAAACAGACAAAATGTGGCAACGCTTAGGCTCCCGTAAAGCCTGCGGCTGATACGATCTTGGTTAAACCGTTGATCCCAGACAATGCCCCTTCTTCGTTACCTAATCAAGCCACCGTTTACAGGCAGCGGACCCGTCTGTTGATGCAATGCATTGCGGCATTGCTGGGCTGTTGGCGTGCATATGCGTGCATCCACGGTCCCGCATGCCCCGCCCATGCTGCACCTTCTCTCCACTCCGCCTTCCTGTTGCGCCGGCTCCATCGCGTCGTCCGGGCGGGCCATTCTCTCTCAGCCGGCACTGGCTGCTGCGCCTTTGCTGTCACCTTTGCAAGGGTGTCCAGCAACTCGATGAGTTCAGTTTGAGAGCTTATGTATCTCGGACACACGCAGACTCTTGGCTGCGCGGGGCGGTCGGTCGGTGTAGGGTTTTTGTAGTCCTGGCACGTCGTGGCCACATCACGAAAATGTAGTCGGGCTCGGGCTTGCCAGCAGGTTTGCGCGCAGGGAGGTCCGAGGGCCATTCCGAAGTCCTTAGTCGATTTGCAGGCGGAAGAAGTTGGATGTTTTGATAGGATGAATCTCCCGAGAGAAATGCGGCCTTGATATCGGTAGCCGTAGGCAGCGCAGAGACTCAGAATGGGGTTTGGAGCCAAGAGAGCCAGAGGTGATAAGTTCCACTAGCATCGACCCGGTTGAGGAAGTTGGGTGGTCTCCACTTTCCTACAACTTTGGCCAAGTCGCAAAGATGGGTTTGGAAACGTGAACCCCTCCGCCTGGTCAACTGCTCAGACCGTCGCGATCGACAGGAGTTGCCATTAGGTTGCCGAGTCTACTCCTGTGACATATCGGCGTCATTCCTCTGCTACTCTACCCAACCTCTTTCTTTCAGTGGTTAGGTCAGGCCTGAATTTGTTTGGCCCGGGAACCAACGGGAGAGCGATAAGCAGTGAAGCAACTACGTTGTACACCGCAGCCCTAAAGGGGCTCCATGACAACACGTACCGTACACTTGTAAATCGTCAATGTCAGGAATTCGTCACGGCAGCAGTACCGCCGGCTGCAGTCCTCTCGAAGTAGCTAGCTGTAGATCGACGAGCACATGTTTTGTTTAAACTGGGCCCCTCGTACGCATGCGAGGGGGTCACTGCTGAGCAAAGGAGACGCCTCGGCTCCTCATCGAAATTTCTGTTGACGCGCCAGAGAAGTAGGGTCTGTTTTGGGCGATGTGGCATGGCGAGATCACGGAATGTTTGGAAGGTCTAGAGCGCGATGGACCGTGGCTTTGTCCGAAACTACGCTACATGAGAAGAGCAGCGGCTGCGATTCAAGAAGAAGCCTGGCCCTGTCACCAGAGCCTGGGCACTCTTCACGAATCGAGGCTGCAACTCGTAGCCTGGCGGGGCGATCATTGTCGGACGGCTGACCAAAGCCGCTCAATTGCTCCAGCGCAGCCGAGCAGCCGGGATAAATGATGATATCAAGTGTGCTTGGGGGTTACCATTGCCAGGTGGATTATCGGCTGGTGTGATCGCAGCAAAATAAAGTGCAAAGCAAGGACCCCAAGCCCCAAGCCAATAGTTGAGCAGCGCTATTCATGAAGTGTGTCTGCAGGTTTGCGAGCGCTGCTATGGACGAGGTTCATCAGTAGCGGCGTTCGCGAACCATCAAGATGAAATCTTCAGCGCGGCTTCCGGAGGCCAGTCAGGCTATGTACAAGGAAGCGACGCCTTTGCAAAGTCATTTCCGGTTCACTTCTGCTCATGCCCAACGCAGACCAACGGACTGAGCAAGGTGCATCGATGATAATATGAATCATCGCTGTTAGACGAGTGTGTTAATGCCTCTTCTATGTTCAACTTTGACTCCCTGAAGCCGAGAAGCGTCTTCGGGCCCACAGTGTGCCGGGCGGCTGCGTGCATTGCTGACACCACTTCCCACGTCAATCACTCGCGTCTGGGCAGGCTCCTTTCAAGCGGCCGAGTTTCCTTTGGGGTTGGGAGTTGGGGCTTTAGTCGGTGTGTCACGTCCTCTTCCGGAAGCAGGCCTGCATTTTGGCAGACCGTGCCGGCATGAGGTATCTCCTTCTTGGGTCCTCTGTGTGTGTGCCAAAAGCTAAAGCTACCCTGCGCATTCTGCACATAAGACGCTCTTGGCTTCTCCTGGAAGAACTTTGCTGGAAGACGGCTTCTGCCTATCAGATAGCGCTTGGCTAAGATTCTGACAACTACTGTCTTTGCCCCTATCCGGCTTCGAGAGCGACAAGGACACCGAGGAGATCGTCTTCACCGAGAAGATGCGCTTGGACCTCCGGAGTAACAGCTGAGCAGCTGCAGGTAGCGGTGTGCATCACGGTGCACAAGACTTCGACTTGGATGCAACAAATCCATATGATCCAGTGGATCCAGGTGCGTACAGTAAGAATGGATCTCTTCGACGAACGAGTTACGAGAAGAGATGCATTCAGCAAAAACAAAAACCCGCGGAAGTCGCAGAGCGAAGAAAAAGACGAATTCGCCCGGCTGAAACCGAACCGCCCGGTTCCTTCCGTCTGTGACGCAGCGGGGTTCCCGCTTGCAAAAGCTCCGGAGCTCCCGCGATCAAAGTCTTTCCTGACTCTGCTCTTCGGATCCCCCAAACTCCCCCGAAGGGCTTCAATATAGTTCGTATTCGTGGGCTGGGCTCCTGTGTTTCCACAATCGCGTATTCGTCATCCCAGCGAGACGAGACATGCAGAAAGGCAGGTTGCGTCCCTGAAGACCTCCCGACCTCCCGGCATCCGCAGCATAAGGAAATGCTCCCCCCCCTTCTCGGGGATGTCTGCACAGGGCACCTCCCGGTAAGGCGGCTTCCAACCAGATCACCCTGCTCGAACTCGCGGTCCTTGAGCGCTGGAAGGCCAAACAAAAGGGGAGACGTGCTTCAGAGCAGCTCTGAGCCACGAACGCAGAACTCCTGCCCGTGTTCATCGACGAAGGTGCCGATGCCCTGCGGCTGATCCTGGGGCCCCGAACGGCAGAGTGTGGGAGACGCGGCAACAAAAGGCTCATCTGCCCCGCCTCTTCCCACTCTCCTTCATAGTAACTCAGAGTGTCCTCAGTGTCTCGTGACAGGATTACCTCACAATCTGTTTGGGGCAAAGGTGCCTTGCTTCGAGCATACTCAAACCTGCCCTTGCCCTCCCGAAGACCGTTCCTTGGCTGCGTCACGTGCTCTGCACGTGCAGAGGTCCCGCTGTAGCATGATCTGAGATGATCACACGAACTGGCCGCGGTACACGCCATCGCTGCAATGCAGCTCGCCCTCACCATGCATCTCGTCTGCCTGTGGCTTCTCGTGAAACCGAACGGAAACCGACTGGAACGCTCCCACTCCTCCCAGTGGCCGCAGTAGAGGAAGGTGGAATCGCCATCCGAGTCTCAGCGAAGAACAGAAAGGCGGAAGAGAGGCTTAGGCGGCTGGAGGCTTCTGCTTGGCTCCCGGGCCCTGGTGCCACAAAGAGCCTTTGCCGTCTCGGCAGCCGTCGCAGACCTTGCCCTTGTAACGATGTCCTCATGCCGTAGCTCTCCCTCTCAGAGGCTGTCAAATCCTGGCCGGACCTGAAGGGTACAGGATGTCGGCGTAGCCCGTGCCCGGCTCGTCGTTCTTCCACGGGCCCGTGTAGATGGGGGCTCAGCGACGACTTCTAAAACCTCTGACCTGTGATCTGTGATTGGCCGAGGGCACGGCTGCCATCTTGGGTCCTGTGCGGTGGTCGCACAGGATCCAAAAACACGCGAATTGGAATTGGCCTGTAGTGTCCATGTCCATGGCGACGGTTCTTCTCGAACTTGCCCCTGCAAAGGAGAACACCCAACAGAGCCGAGAGCGGGCCTCTTGCATCGCCTGTAGACGGTGCCATCCGTGAAGATCATCTGCCAAGGAATCAGCACCCGACTCCGCTCCAGTGACCGCCTTGCTCTTTCTTTTTCGCCAGCTTTAGCGCTGAGCGCGTCGATTGCAAGCCTTCGCGTTCGCCCCCACAGGCAGACGACTCGGGTCGGGAGCTCAGCCCCGCAAGCGAATCAGCGCACTAAGAACAAATGTGGGACTTAAAGCCTCTGGCAACCCCCGGGCCAGGACGGGTCCATTCTCCGCCGGGGGGGGCCACGTTTGCTCAAAAAAACCAAAGCAAACTTAAAGGGGTTTAGGGAGGAGGGAGGCCACCAGGCCAGGCCGGAGGGCGATGCCAAGGCCCCCCCCCCAGCGCCCCGGCCGGGGACTTGAAGCCGGAGGAGCTTGGGAGGCGGGGAGCTTGAGGGGGGGCGCGGTGAGTTGAGGCGTTCGGTTGAGGAGTTCGACGCTTCAAAGCGACCAAAAATGGAGCAAACAGTGAAAAGCTCTGCGCGCGCTGAAGCGCCGCGTCTCGGCCTTTTAGCCCAGCTGCATTCAAAGCCATGGCTATATTCAGAATGCTCTCTCTCCTTTGTTTCACACGGCACGGCGAGATTCGATCAGGAGAGAAACTCTCTCAGTGTGATGTTTCTTGCCGCAGGCATTTGAATGACAAGCTTGCCGCGCACATGATGAGCCGCCTGGGTGTCCAAATCGCAGGGCCCAACGCTATTTTGAAGAAGACAACTTGAGCTTTGGCACTCTGCTTAGCACCTTCCTCCAAGGGGCCGAAACGTCAAAAGCCGCAAGGATGTCTGCCAGCTCGAAGGTCTGGACCTCCGGCATTCGCAAGTGCCCGGCGTCCACCAAATCTCTCAGCTCATCAAGGAGCCTCAGCCAACGAGGAAAACTTGAGCGGCTCGCGTCATAAACCACGACTGTCTCAGACCAAGAAGCTCAAAGTTCTGAAGATTTGTTGCTGAGTTGATAAAAGTGGAGCTCTTGATGTCGGCTCGTGGCTTTTGAGGGAGGGCCCCGGCGATGGTGACGAAGTAGCCTCCTCGACATCACGGCTGAAGTGGATTCTCACCTCTCAGCACAGCCCAATTGCACCGTTGAGCTCCTTGACGCAGCAAAGCCATCGCCCTGTCCCCGGTTCCAGCTTCGCCCACCGTGTCATAAACGACATCCACGGTCCCGTTAGACAGGACCTGAAAGAGCCAACAAGCCCGAGTGACCGGACCAGGCTCAAACTTTCCGGATGCGCAATTTTCAAACATCACTTCGACTCTTCGACATTAATTCACTGCTTGACGCAAGCAGTGCGGCGCCTCCCACCAGTTTTGCGACCTGTAGTCGATAACGCGATCTGCTCCCAATCGTCGCACATATGCTTCGTTCGCCACAGACGTGGTAGTGATGATCGTGGCGGCGCCCCATGCCTGCAATGCTGCAATTGCGAACATGCCAACAAGCTTGCGGCTGCGATAAGATCACGCTACAACTTGTCTTCCCGTCCCCTCCCGTCCCGTTTCGCAGGACACCCAACTCCGTAGCCGCTGCAGGCACTCAGGCACTCACAAACAAGCGAAATGCACAACTCCATGTCGCAACGCTCTGGACAAGGTCTGGAATGACTCTGCCATGTTTATGAAAACGTAAATGCACGGTGCAGATTGGAAACTGCCCGAGATGCATGATGTTGAAGCGCTGATTGTTGTCCCTGCTTAAGATTTTACTACGCTGACAACACGAATTTAAGCAATTAATTATGTAATTGAAAGTGTTGAACCACGCTCTAAACAAAAAGCATGCATCCCGCAGTACCTTGGCCAGCTGTATCCCTGTGCTGCCACAGCCGCCACTGCCACCCAGGATTAAGACCGTCACGTCTCGCCCATACGGCGCGCCACCATACCATTTCAGGGCCTTGTAGGACGTCAAAGACACCTCAGCCGGTGACGGGAATGGCAATAGCATTCTGCACATTCCGTTCCGTGACGTTTGGCCTTTGGCAGCGCCACAGCTTCCCAAACCTGGGTAAGACCGCGGCTGCAAGAGGCCTTCCGGCTGCCGGGCTGCTGGGCTTTGGGCCGAGAGGGTTGTTGGCATTCGGCCCAGCTGCGACTCCAGAGCCACGGCCTCCCCAAGAGACAGCTGACAGCGTCTTAGTCTTAGCTTTTTGCGAAACTTGGGACCCTGCAAAAGGCGCGAAGGCACCATTCCTTAGAAGTCGGTAACGACACCAAAGTCAAAGCCTGGCACTTCAGCCAAAGCTCTCCTTGCCCTTTCCACTTGATGTTTGAACAACGGCTCCGATGTCGGCCCAAACACGGTCCTCAGGCGGCAGCTAGACATCGCAGTGCAGAGGCAAGAACTCGCCAAGGGTGCAATTAAGAGGTCACTAAGGTCAGGCACACGCAGGCATGTATGGCACAGTCGTACGGGTAGAATGTTGCTAGCTCCAAGTCGCGCTGGGATGCTAGATTCAGGCACAATCTGTGACATGAATGCTTGACACCATCGGTCAACTAACTAGAGCGGAATTTGGACGTCCTATGTGTCGTCCCCAAGGTTGTGGCTCCTGTAGATCCGCCGAATGACGGAGCGCAGTTCGTGCTCACATGGGGGCCAGGTTTCTTCTTTGGGTGCTCACTGTTCTCGCATCCATCATTGGAAGCATGTGCTCTCTTTTTGGGGCAAGCCGGGGAAGAACTCCCGGCAGCCGCCGTCTAAAAGCCGCGGTACTCCCACAGCTAGGCGTCCGCAGCTTGGCTGAACAGCCTCCACCACTGCCACGACATCGGAACCCATCACCTGCAAAGGGCGATCAAGAGCGCAGGCCTCGCTGCAAGGCGCACAGCGCCGGTGGCCTGTGGGAAGGGCCCGGCTGCCGTCCGGTCAGCCGGGTTCACGCTGCTGCCCAAGACCTGCAGCAACACCTCGCAGCCTTTGCAGAACGAGTCTTTGGAAGACTGGTATTGAGTCTAGAGATGTCTTGAGTGTCTACAGATCAACTGGCCGATTAGGGGTCAGGCTGTCTGGCAGGCCATGGAATTTTCGCCGAAGATCCCCGACAGTGGGCACTGCAGTCTCGGTAAGGCTGTATTGTGTAGGGCTGGTCGCCTCACAGGACGTCTCTCAAAGACACCGTGCGTCATCATGCAAAACCCGATTTGGCTCCATTGTCCCATAAACTAAACCTGAGGGCCGCACATGAAGGGTCTGGGATCGAGAAGAAAGAAGATCAGCATAGCCTATAGCCCTGGACCCAGAAACCCAAGGCTTTGGCCCCAATGAGCGTCGGGAAAATTGAGGCAGATGCTTTCGATGGGAAGGTTGCCTTCCACAGTGACGTTGCTTTCTACGACCAGACCCAGACCAAGGCTGGAAGGGCATGAGACGTGCAACTGCCGGCCGCCGTAGCTCACGGCAGCACCGGCAGC